TTAAAAGGAAGTTGTCATAGATGAACTATTCTATTATCTGCTGAGGGCCATTACCAAGTAGATATGACGCATCGTAATCCTTGCCAGTGTACSCCATGTTAAATGGACTTGCCTTGGAAATTTGCTGCGACCTTGCTTGTGTGTTTGAGAAAGGTGACCCTGCTCAATCACCAGGGTGGATCCAGGATTAGGGTGTATTCCTGCAGGAAGTATCTCCGCCCTTGGGTTTAGGGCGTGACAATAGGAGTTTTAGGGAAGTTGAGGTTGAAGATTATTGCTGCTGGGATTAGGGTGTTCCTGCTGCTTGTTCCCATTGAGTTCTCGTGAGATTCAAATGGGATTTGAAAAAAGCCTCGTGGAGTAGGATTTGGGATCGGACATATTGGAATTGCCCCTGAAHGTGTGTGGAGGCTGGTGTGAGATCGGGAATAAAGAATTGCTGTTTGAACCTACAAAGCTGTGTGGTGGCTCGTGATTCTGTGCCAAGCTGAGACATTGGCACTTGGCTTTTGGCAATTATCCATGACCATTAATTTATGCTTTTGCTGATTTCACATATATTCTTTATTGGCTTCTAAGATCAATACCAAATGAACTAAATGAACAGAGTAAAATAATTAGGTAAGTCATAAGCTAATATGGATTCTGAAGTACCTGAAGATGACTCACTTCTTAGTTCCTTAGCTATTAATGGTTAATCAGGACCAAATAAATTCTGGACACACTTCATCCACGGGAATATAACTCAATAACAGCATTATTTTAAATTAGATGCCCTGCAAAACAATCTTGCATTTAGGCCCATTTTAAATAGTGATAAATTGGAATTAAGAGGCATTGACATCAGGGAGAAAGGTTTTCCTATTAGCTCAAAACATGTATGAACCTCAAAAACACTATGTGAAGTTCAAAAGCCAGTCACCGTCTTTTCAAGCGTCAGTGTACCTGGTTACACAACGTTCAATGTCAGGTAAGGCTATAAAGAAGCTTTCTGAAAAGTTCCAAGTAGAATGCAGTAAGCATTTTCCCCAGTATCAGCTTCTTTCTACTTCCCCTTCTCTCTGAGTCACTTAGGATGTTAAGAACTGCCAAGCTGGGTGTGGTGGTGCATGCCCATAATTCTATTGACTCATGAAGCTGAGGCAGGAGGATGGCAAGTTCTAAGTCAGCCTCAGCAACTTAGTGAGACCCTGTGTAAAAACAAGAAAGAGTTGGAGATGAAGCTCACTGCTAGAAGCACCCCTGTGTTCAATCCCCAGTACCTTAAAAAAATAAACCAAGTGGTCATTCGTCTATTTGGGGTTGATGGTAGATTTCTTCATCTTTCATTTCAGTATTAATTTTTTTTAACTTACCAAAGTGTTGAGTATTAGAATTAAGAATTCATATACAATTCTCAAGACAGCCTAGAAAAATTTGGTTGTGGTTGTGACCTATTTGTAAAACTATTTGGTATGTCCCCTAAATGAGGCTATGCATGTTTCACAGGAATAGTAACAAAATAAAATCATTCCAAGCTGCCATAAATYGTGATGTTCATGTGGAAAGGTATCTTTGCACAGGATAATAAAAAGGCTGGTACTGCTCTTAAGACAACATGGCTACCGTGTGCAGTGATACAGGCCCACAATCCTAGCAATTCAGGAAACTGAGGCAGGAGGATCACAAGTTCAAGGCAAGACTCAGCAACTAACTGAAGCCTTAAGCAACTTAGCAAGATCCTGTCTCAAAATAAAACTAAATAAATAAAAAGAGAGAAAATGACAGTTCTAGGGGGGAAAAAAACTAGTCAATAAATTTAAATGACCCTGAATGACTTGACCAGCTCCCCCTATGTTATAATACCTGTAACTATGGACTATATAAAGTTTTTCTAATTATAACTCTTCATTAGCAACTTCAAAAAGTTTATAACATCAAGTTAAAATATTTAAAATTTGTAAATGAACACTACGACCATGCCTCCTAAAAGCTTTTTTCCCCCCACTAAACGTGATCCTCAGAAGTTTTACCTCCACAATGAAGTACAAGCCAAGCTGATAAAATTCTGAAAAGTTCCAAGAAGAATGCAGTAAGCATTCCTTCTCATGATTAAAATAATTATTAAAAATTTTGTGAATGTTTCTATGAAAGCTTATCAAGAAATACCCCAATTAATGTCATTGCTGGAGTTAAAGCCACACACACACACACACACACACACACACACACACACACATATATATACATTCATTCCATTTATAATTTTCATATTTAGGTCTCATAAAAGCATTTTTTTAACTTGCATTGGCCCAAGTTTTCACTTTGGATCAACTACTCAGTCTAAGTTATAGAGATATAGATCCATAAATTACATAATTCCACTTTAGAAAATAATAATACTGCAGTGTAAACTTATAGTTAACCAATCTTTTGAGTAAATAGTTCAGATAAACACCATTCATGCAAACTTTTCTGCATCCTTCATTATGTGACTACGTAGGCTCTTTGAATCATCTTCTTAAAGTCAAATGTTTAATTCAATTGAGATTTTGTAACACTGCATGAATATTGCAACTGTAAATCCTAAAAGCCAAAAGAACATGATAACATAGATGAAATAGGCCAATTCCTTGATAGATTCAATCTTCAAAACTCACACAAGAGGAAACAATGTCACCAGGCCCATATCTATTAAAAGAAATTGAATCAATAATAACTTTCCCAAAACAGAAAGTACCAGGCTCAAACAGGTTCACTGGTTATTTGTACCAAATATTTAAAGGAAGAAATTATTGGCTAGCATGCATTAGGCCCTGGGTCGAATTCCCAGTACCAAGGTGTAAAAAAAGGGAGGGAATATATCTTCTCTTTCAGAATATAGAAACAAGAAATATTCCTTAACTTGTTCCATGAAGCCAATATTACCCTATTATCAAAACTACACAGACATTATGAGAAAACTACAGACCAATATTTCTGATGCATATAGAACCAAAAAAAATCCTTAATAAGGCTAGGCATGGTGGTGCATGCCTATAATCCCACGATTTGGGAGGCTGAGACAGAAGGATTGCAAGTTTGAGGTCAGCTTCAGCAATTTAGTGAGAACCTAAGCAACTTAGCAAGACAACATCTCAAAATAAAAAATAAAAAAGGCTGGTATATAGCTTGGTGGCAAAGCAGCACTGGGTTCAAACCGCAGTAGCACCCCCCACCACCACTGTTTTTTTATACATACATACATATACAAAAAACTCTAAAACTCAGCAATAAGAAAACAACTTAATTTAAAAATTGAGCAAAAGACTCAACAAGTTCTTCAACAAAGAATAATACAGATAAGAAACAACCATATGAAAAAAATGTTCCACACAATTTGGCATTAGGAAAATGTAAATTAAAACAACAATGAGAAACCACTACGTACAATGACCAAAATCTAGAATGCTGACACCACCAAATGCTGGCGGGGTCGAGGAGCAATAGGAACCTCATCTACTCTTTGCTGGTGGGAATACAAAATGGGATAACAATTTTGGAAGACAGTTTGGCAGTTTCCTATAAAACTAAACATACTCTTACCATGTGACCCAGCAATTTCAATTCTTTATATTTACCCAAAGGCATTCAAAATTTTTGTACCCACTACCCATAAAGACCTGCATACAGATGTTTATAGCAGCTTTATTCATAAGATGTGCTTCCACAGGTGAGGGGATTGGCAGATTGTGGTGCATCCAGACACTGCAATAGAATTCAGCATTAAGGGGTGGGGGGAAGCTATCCAGGCAGGAAAAGATAGGACACCAGACCAGCGTCTTAACCTTCAGCCTCTGAAGACTCTAGTTGACTCAAAACAGGCCTTCCAACCCTTCTCTTTGGTACTTGATCTTTAATAAAGGAGATAAAGGGATTTTGAGGATTTCATCTTTTTTTTTCTTTATTTCAATTTTTTTTTTTTTTTTAGTTTTCAATGGACCTTTATTTATTTATTTATATGTGGTGCTGAGAATCTAACTCAGTGCCTCACACATGCTAGGCAAGTGCTCTGCCACTGAGCCACAGACCTATCATCTTCTTCTAATTGTAGCTTCTGTGTTCACTGTAAGGAATTCCTGAATGACCAATGTAAAGACATGGTCTACTAAATATCAAACTAATAAAAAAGTGCTCTCCTTCCCCTTCCCTCTCCCACTATCTACTAAGTGAAAAAAGCCAGTCTGAAAAAGCACATGATATATAACTGCAACCGTAGGACGTGTCGGAAAAGGCGAATCTGTGGAGACAGTGGAACGATGAGTAACTCTCAGGGCATACGAGGGAGAAAGGGATGAACAGGAAGAGTGCAGAGAATTTCTAACACTGTAACAATTCTGTATGATACGGTAATAATAGATGTGCTCTCGTAGGTTTGTCAAGACCCACAGAATGTACCTAACCAATAGTGAGCCCTAGTTAAACTGTGGACCAAGGTGTTTCTGATATGTCAATATAAGTCCATTAACTGTCACACATGTACCTTCCTGGTGGGGGATTGCTCTTAATGGGAGAGGACATGGGGGTATGGGGGTATGGAACCTTGAACTTTCTGCTCAATCTTTCTCTGTGCCTAAAATTGTTCTTAAAAAAAAAAAGTCTATGAAAAAGGAAACAAAACAATGACAAAACCCACCAAAAGACACTCTATCAAATTTTATAGTAATTTTTATTTAAGAATATATATCATATAAAAATTTTATTTCATAATTTCAAAGATACATAATTACTTGTATATAATACTTTTGGTACAGTTTTTCCATCACTATGAATTCTTTTGCTCACCAAAACTGCCTTTGTTTTCTCCCCTAAACCATAATGTGAAATATAAATGCCTCCAAGGAAGAGGCAAGAAATTGAGGATATTCAGTTATTTTTGATGAATTTTTTTTTTTTTTTTTTGGTTCCAGGGGTTGAACCCAGGGATGCTTAACCACTAAGCTACATTCCAGCCATTTTTGAGGCAGGGTCTCCTGAATTKCTCAGGGCCTTGCTAAGTTGCTGAGGCTGGCCTCAAACTCCTGATCTTCCCAAGTCACTGGGATTACAGAAATGTATCACTGTACCCAGTTACTTTTGATGATTCTGAGAGGCATTCAGCACCATGAATATCTTATTCAAATATAAATGAGAAAATAAAGTATGTGATCTTCATGGGGCAGTTCACATAAAATGTATTTCATACCATTTAACTACTAACTACACCCAAGGAACTTAACTACTGCTGAATCCTCTGTGGTGGTATCATCAATATCCAGCTTCCAATTTCCACTCTTTAAAATATTTCTCCATTGTGTGCCGAGATTTCAAGGTGCCAATATTTACGGTAGGTATGATTTTCTGCGGTTTCAGCCACTGGACAAAACGCTTCATCTCTAGGTAGCTGCTGTGTTCACTGTAAGGAATTCCTGAAAAGACCAATGTGAAGACATTGCCTACTAAATATCAAACTAATAAAAAAGTGCTCTCCTTCCCCTTCCCTCTCCCACTATCTGCCCCCTTCCCCCTACTGATCTTTCTTCTATTTACCCATAGTTATTTTTTAAATTAATTTCTTATGGATTACATGATGGTGAAATTCACTGTGGTATATCCATATATGTACATAGGAAAGTTAAATAAATAAAAACCAAACAAGCTCTCGAGTGCAAAATAAAACAGAAAAGTAATCCTGAGCATTCTTGTCCAAATTCCTTGGTGCATTAGTTCTCATAASAAAATTTGGTATTTTTATAGAAAATAAAGATTAAAACATTAAAAATAATATAAAACTTAGAACATTGAAAAAAAATTCATTTCTTTTCTATGCATATACTTAAAAATATCCATTTCTAGAGAGTCCCATTTAATTGGGATTTTCTTATTTTTATTTATTTATTTAAAACACTTCACTCAGCTATAGATTTCAGGAAAATCTTGAAGAAATATAAGTCAAATGTGAAGAATGGCAGGCAGATTTGACTTCTAGAACAAGTAAGCAGGTTCTAGTCCCAAGCTTTACATACATAAACAATTAGAAAAAGATGAAACCCTCAAAATCCCTTTATCTCCTTTATTTAAGATCAAATACCAGAGAGAAGGGTTGGAGGACCTGTTTTGAGTCGGCTAGAGTCTTCAGAGGCTGAAGGTTAAGCCGCTGGTCTGGTGACACCAGCCATCCATGGAACTAAGCCAGCTCTGCGGGCAATGGTGAACTCCCTCCAGGAGAGGAGAACACCAAAGTCAAGTCTGTCCCTCCTGCTGTCACCACATCTAAGCCATTCTCCTCCTGCTCACAATCTCATGCATAATCTAGACTTCCATTTATAGACACTGAGTTCCTCCTTTCAGTAGTTCTGCAATTTCCTCTAAATATCATAGATCACACAAAGGAAATAATCTGTCAATACCTATCTACTGGTTGAGCTCCTCTGTATCAGTGTACAATGGACTAGACAGAGGTTTAGAGTTGTAGAGAGATTTAAAACTCCTGAATTATTGCCGGGTGCAGTGATCCATGCCTGTAATCCCAGGAGAGGCTGAGGCAGGAGGGCTGCAAGTTCATGTTAAAGATCAGACTCAAAACCTTAGTAAGACCTTGTCTCAAAATAAAAAATTAAACAACAAAAAAGGACTGCAGATGTAGCTCAATGGGAAAGCTCCTCTTAGCCCTAGTATACCCTCCCAAAACAAGCAAATAAACAAAAAATAACCCTCAGGAATTGTTAAATTATTTTGTGCTTGGTTTTGTTTTGGCTTTGGGATGTTGATTTTAAGAAATGCAAATGATTATAAACATTAAATGTGAGAAAATTTAATAATATACCATATATTGAAATGTTTCCCTTGGTCTGAGGAGTAATATCTGCTATGCTGGAGAACTTGCTAGAGTGCGTCCATCCCGTGGGTCGAAAAGCCAAAATCCGATCATATTTCCCATCATACTTCTTCAAATGATTCTGCAAACCCTGTTTAAAAAAAAAAAAAAACAGCACGTTGATTCAGCAGTCAATGGAGATGGGTCATGTGGAATTAAGCAGGATGATTACAGATGTCACATTGGCATGGTCACGAGAAGCTTTTAGTTGCTAAGACTGGCTTGCAACGACCTTTCAGCCATGTTTCTAAAAAAAAAAAATGGAATCTTTGAATAGATTATCAGCTCTTCTTTGCTTATCTAAACAAGTTCAGGTACTGTTAAAAAATATGAGGAAACAACTTGAAACACCGAGTAATTAAATGTAAGCAAATTACAACTCAGATAGTTAAAAAAAAAAAAAAAAGCAAAGAAACACCTCTCTCCAAATCCTACTGCAAGAGACTCTAACATCACTAGTGGTAAACATCAGTGCCCACACGACTCCATACACATAAACTGACAGAGGATTGACAGAATTTTGTAAGGATGGCGACATTATACTTCTAACAGATATATATTTTAGGTGGATTCAATATTTTTTACTTATGTATGATGCCAAGAATCAAACCCAGTGCCCCATGCATGCCAGACGAGCCTTCTCCCACTGAGTCACAACCCCAGCCTCCAGATATATATTTTAAAGATCACAGTAGCATTATTCTCAGGTGTTCATACCTTTCTACCATTTAAACATGAACTAGATTAAATTTCAAACTCTTTATGCCACTATAATTGGAAGTAAAATGCTCCTTTTATAAATCTTGAATAGAGCTGGGCATTACCATGCTCATACACATGCATAATCTCAGGTACTTGGGAGGGTGAGGTAGGAAATTCACAAGTTCGAGGCCAGCCTGGGCAATTTAAGGAGAGCCTGTCTCAAAAAAACAAAAAACTAGAAGTGTGGCTCAGTGGCAGAGGGTCTCTGGGTTCAATCCCTAGTATTGTAAAAACTATATCTTGAATGGAACTCCAAACCAAAGTCACAATAAATGATATTTGATAAAACTCTTAGAAAATTGATAACCAAACTTCAATCTTTGAGAGCTAAGAGAAATCCAACTAAGGATAATAGTGGCATGAGAGATTTTTTTWAAAAAATCTTAATAATTTTAAGAATAATACCCAGTTTCAGTTTTTTTTTTTTGGTGGGGCTGGGGATTGAACCCAGCATATGAGGCAAGCACTCTACCAATGGAACTATATCCCCAGCCCAGAATAACATCCAGTTTCAATTATTCAATAATYCATTAGAATGGATTAATAATAAAATACACTTCACCGATGAAATGAAAATCATTGGATTTTTCTTTTGTATCAATTACCTGTTTATTAATTTGAGGTCAATACAAGAGCATCTGCCACAAAACAGTCCTATTTCTAACCAACTACTAGGAACATCAAAAAAAAAAAAAAAGAAAGAAAGAAAAAAAAGAAAGAAAGAAAGAAATTTGCATGGATGGATGTATAAATAAGCTTCTATTATAATATTCTCTGCAAAGTTTCAAGCTGCTGCCTTGGTGTCCAAGCCTGAGCTAACCCAGTGTCTTCTCCCTTCCTTGCCTTCACTGAGAAAGGACAAGACAGGAAACTGGGTTTTAGTGTAATTATACATGAAATGCCATTAGCTCAGAGTTCAATTTTCAATCTATGTCATCAACCCAACCATTCCTATTTGTTACTTCAAAACACCCAGGACAATTTAAAAAGAGAACTAATTTCTGCTTTTTATGAAACAAATCAGTGACCACAAAAACACCATGTGGTGCAGTCTAGTGCCACAAACATAAACTTAAGATGTTATACAAGCCAACCTTCAGAAGAGACCGTCAACAGTTACCAGTTGTCCATTTACCATGATTTCAGAACAACTCTCGTGAGGAAATTTATTATAAACAGTTTAGTTGACACAAAATCTCTGTTCTATGACCATTTCTGCTTATTGAACCAATTTGTGAGAAAAGTCCTTTTGGCAATGTCACTAGAACTATTTTTCAGTATGAAGACAATCATCTATAGCATCATTGTTTTTAAAATGTTTTACCACATTTGGCCAATCAGGTTTAAATCAGCAGTGGTAATCAACCATATAGCATAAATAGGACCCAGGGATTACTTTTTATAGCTTTTCAGAGGGTTTTAGGAAGGCCATGGATACCCAGAAAAGTGTATTAGGCTTATCTTTTCATAAAAAGTCATTACCTCTGATGCAATAAAATTATTTTTGGCTGATTAAAAAAATTATCTAATTACTAACTAAAATATAACACCATGATAACCAACAGCTTCTGCTACAYCTGTGTTTTGAAGAAAAGAAATCTTCAAGAAATATCATCAATAYCAGGACACTTTAATGGAGGAATCATCTGCTCCAGGATTATGCCAGGTAGATCAGGGAGGAGCAGAGAGGATATAGACGTCACCTTCTGGAGGCCGACAGGCTCCAAGGCAGAGGATCTGTTAAGCCCCGCCCTCTGGGTCTGGTTAATGGAAATCCTCGGCCCTTTCTTAGCTTTCTCTAACTCCCATCATCAGGGAGCTTCACAGAGGAATCTTGTCACAAAGGACTCCTTTTTTAGCATAAGTTCTTAGAAGTGGCAAAATACAGACAATAAGTATTAAAAATATAGATTTAATGAACATTTCTGAATCCTTAAAACCAGTTTGAATTCTTTGTAGCTGCTTGAAGATTTAATTCTTGTTTCAGTTTGGACTCGTAAATACAAGCTGTCTAAAAGAAGGCCACATATATCAGAAAATAGCCTGTAAAGCCGTGGGCTGGTGAATCTACCTGTGTTCCAAATCCCACTCAGAAACCCTACTTCATCAACAACTGCCTTCCTCAGTTATCTTCCATTTCTCCCTGTGACTCACAATATAAAAACCCTTGTTTCTAATAAACAAACAAATCCTTTTCTGGGCACATGTTCTGTATTTCCCGTCTTCATTTCCTTGACCCTCATTCTTTTCTTAACCCCCCTTGGCTTCCAGGCAGATAAATGCCCCACCCTTTAAGAGTTCAATTCAGCAGTTTCTAGTATTTTCACAAAGCTGGGCAACCATCACCACTATCCCCTTCTGGAACAGAAGCCTTGAGCACTGGCAGTCATTCTCCATTTCCTCTCCCTCAAGCCCTGGGAACCATTAACCCACTTTCTGTCTCTGCAGATTTAATGTTCTGGAGAATTCATGTAAGTGGATCATACAATAAGTAGCCTTCAGTGTCCGGCTTCTTTTGTCTGGCATAGTGTTCTCAAGGTTCAATCATATTACAGATGCATTAGTACTTCATTCCTATTTACAGGTGAATAATATTCTGTTTTATGAATAGATCTATTCATAGATCGCATTTCATTCAAACATTCACTATTTGATGGGCATTTGGGTTGTTTTGACTTTGGGGCTACTATGGGTAATGTTGCTATAAACATTTCCATAGGAGTTTTGTGCAGACGTGTGTTTCAATTCTCTTGGGCATATAGGATGAAATGGCTGGGTCACATGGCCACCCCACATGATATGGTTTAAGGAATTACCAAACTGTTTCCCAAAATAGCTACACCAGTTCAAATTCCACCAGCAAAGACCCAGGTTCCAATCCCATGTATCCTCATCAATTGTTACCATCACTTTTATTACAGCTCTCCTAGTGGATGTCAAGTGGTGTCTTGGTCTGGTAACGCTTTGCAGTTTCCTGATGGCTAACCACAGAGACCCTGAGCCTAATAGAAGAAAAAGTAGGCCCAAATCTTCATCATGTCAGATTAGGCCCCAGCTTCCTTAACAAGACTCCTATAGCATAAGAAACAAAATCAAGAACCAATAAATGGGATGGATTCAAACTGAAAAGCTTCTTCTCAGCAAAAGAAACAATCAGTGAGGTGAAGAGAGCCTACAGAATGGGAGCAAATTTTTACCACATGCACATCAGATAGAGCACTAATCTCTAGGGATATAAAGAACTAAAAAAACTTAACACCAAAAAAACTAAAAACCCAACCAGTAAATGGGCCAAGGAACTGAATAGACACTTCTCAGAAGATCATATACAATTAATCAACAATATATGAAAAAACATTCAATATCTCTAGCAATTGAGAAATGCAAATCAAAACTACTCTAAGATTTCATCTCATTCCAGTCAGAATGGCAGCTATTAAGAATACAAAGAACAATAAGTGTTGGCAAGGATGTGGGGGGATAAGGGATATCATACATTGCTGGTAGGACTGCCAACTGGTGCAACCAATCTGGCAAGCAGTATGAAGATTCCTTGGAAAACTCTGTATGAAACCACCATTTGACCCAGCTATCCCACTCCTTGGTTTATACCCAAAGGTCTTAAAGACAGCCTACAGCAGTGATGCAGCCAATGTATATAGCAGCACAATTCACAATAGCTAAACTGTGGAACCAACCCAGATGCCCTTCAGTAGATGAAGGGATAAAGAAACTGTGGTATATACACACAATGGAATATTACTTAGCATTAAAAGAGAATAAAATCATGGAATTTGCAGGTAAATGGATGGAGTTGGCGAATATTAAGCTAAGTGCAGTAAGCCAATCCCCAAAAACCAAATGGTGAATGTTTTCTTTGAGGATGCTGATCCATAATGGGGATTGTGGGTGAGGAGCAAGGGAGGAATGGGGAACTTTAGGTAGGGCAAAGGGGAGGGAGCAAGAAGGGAAGGGGCAGGGGGATAGGAAAGATGGGTGAATGAGATGGACATCGTTACCCTAAGTACATGTATGAAGACACAAATGGTGTGACTCTACTTTGTGTACAACCAGACGTGAAAAATTGTGCTCTATGAATTGAAATGCATTCTGCTATCATGTATAACAAATTAGAATAGATAAATTTAAAATTAAAAAAACTATAAAATAAAAACAAACTTGGAAATAAAACTATAAAATAAAATGATTAAAATATGCTATACCCTTTTCAGGATATTACTGGACATCCTTATGACTGATGACATCTCATTAGTCTTCACACTAATTGCCTCCCACATTTAAAATACGTCTGCAAGTCTCGCTTAAACATCAGGTGCCCGGCCCAGTGGTGCACGCCTGTAATCCCAGCAACTGTGGAACCTGATGCAGGAGGATCCCGAATTTGAGAAAAGTCTCGGCAATTTGGCAAGACATTCAGCAACTCAGTGAGATCCTGTCTCAAAATAGAAAATAAAAAGTATTGGGGAAATAGCTCAGTGGGCACCCCTGGGTTTAATTCTCAGTACCAAAAAACAAAAACAAAAACAAAAACAAAAACAAAACCATCAATGGACAATGGACAAGCCAGGCATAGTGGCACATGCCTGTAATTTCAGTGACAAGGTAGACTATGAAAGAAGATCTCAAGTCTCCAGCCAGCGTGGGGAATTTAGCAAGACAAATTAAAAAATAAAAAAAAAAAATTAAAAGGAATAGGGATATAGCTCAGTGGAAGAACACCCTGGTAGAGCACCCCTGGGTATAATCCCCAGTACTGGGGTAGGGGAGAAATAATGGACAATACTCTGGCTTGATTGTGCCTGAATTGTTGGGTTGGGGGGGGGGGGTTGTACCAGGGATTTCACCTAGTGGCTCTTTATCATTGAATCACATCCCCAGCCCTTTTTTTAAAAAAAATTGTTTTACTTTTGAGACAGAGTCTTGCTAAATTTGCTTAGGGCCTCATTTAAATTTCTGAGGCTGGCCTCAAATTTGCAATCCTCTTGCCTCAGTTTCCCAAGTCCCTGGGATTACAGATGTGCTAGGACAAATACCAGGCATGCCTAAAATTTTTATGGATTACACATACTCATGAAAATAGGCCATAAATAGTTCACCTTAGTCTCACAGAAAAAAGGAGTAGTTAGACCAGAAAGAATTTCCCTAATCAAGAATTAACATTCATTTTCTTTACACAACGTATTATAATTTATAAAACAGAGATAGCAATAGTAATTAGCATCCCATTTCAAAAAGTTCCAAAGAAGTTATTTTACAAATATTAGAGCAAAAGTAAAAACATATTTCTTTGTGCGGTATGTTCCGAATTGTGTTTAATACAAAATATTCAGTATTTTTCGAAATATTCCATTGACAAGTATCAACATGTAAATATATGGAATAAACCTCTTTATGTAAACAAACCTGACAGACAAGCCCCCAAATCACGGTAAGGCTGTGTCATATGTGCCTCAGTTTATAACCAAGAACTAATGCTAGAACTTCCTCTCAGGAACTTCCACTATTTGATCTAATCCTCAATAAGTAAATTTTCAACACACACCAATGTTACAGAGGTTTAATATTAATATTGGAACAGAACAGAACAGACCTGAAGTAAGAACTCAGAATTCTYCCCTCACTTCCACCACCCACCCAGAAAGAACTGGAAAGTGATCTTGACATGGAGGATTCAATGAACACACATGCATTCTTTTCTATTTCTGTTCCTTCCTGTATGACAGTTCTTTATTTTCTAAACACCTGGCACACAAACTTTTTTTAGAGTTACATATTCAGAAGAACTAAAAACATTTAGAATTTTAGAGTTACATATTCAGAAGAACTAAAAACATTTAGAATTCCCTTGAAAGACTTTCTAAGGCAAATTTTAAAATAGGTGATTTCATTATACCTGAATTTCTTGAAGTTTATATGCAAGTAAAATGGGATTCTAGTTTATGATCATTAGATCTTTTTCTGGTTCACCCTAAACACTTCTCTTGAATCCTTACCTTAAAATTAATTTGCATCATTGGGAGAAGGTGGACCAATGAACTCCACATGTCTGTGGTGATGAGGGGATTAATGTCAGGCATATTGAGGCACCGCAATGTTTGAAACTTTTCTCGGGACATGCCCACCTTTGAACCTAAAACATCAGCAACAGCTACAGGCAAAACAAAAGGTTAAAGACAGAAACATTACGGCATATGGAAAAATCATAAAATTGTCATTTAATCACATTTTAAAATAAGAATTTATCAAAAACAAATTCAAAACATTTGTACATTTACTATATCTCTAAGTGGCTGAATCATTTAATTGTTTATCTGTGTGAAATAAATTGTGATAATTCCAAAGAACTTACTTTTTTATTTTATTTTTGGTACTGGGGGTTGGGATGCTCTACCACTAAGCTAYATCCCCAGTCCTTTTCATTTTTTATTTTGAGACAGGGCYTCACTAAGTTGCTGAGGCTGGCCTGAAACTTGCAATCCTCCTGCCTCAGCCTCCGGAGTTACTGGGATTTCAGGCGTGTACCACCATGCTAGGCTAACACTTCATATCTTAATGATTGAGATAATGTGATCACACTTAAGAAGAAATCGAAGTACCCCACAAAAACAGAACAGTATCTCCTAGACAAACTAGTGTAATATATACATAGATAAAGCAACAAAAGTTAACTAGCAGGTATCCTCAAAGGATGATACAATTATGCATTACTCATCCTTCAAAGTTATATAATAATAATGTCACATGGGCACTTGTTTATAAATATCTTATAAGTACTAAGATAAGCATATTCATCAAATGTTTCAATAAAGTTAAGCCTTTCAAAGTTTAAATGTATCAAATATTATGAATCTTTCTTCAACTTCAAAGAAAATATGGAATAATTTCAGAAAATATGTACAAATGCAGGAGTAGACACTGACAGGGCTTTATGCAAAAAGAATCTGGTGTTTATAATACGTTAATGTAAATTAGATACAGCTACCACCCACCTAGGAAGACTTTCTCTTTTCCGATACTGTAAGTGCCACAGACAACCAGAGTACGGGGGTTTAGAGTTACAGCCTCAAAGGCGGTGTTGATGGCAAACTGGATAACTTCTTGCTGAGATGGAAAGGTGTACTCTGGGCTGCAATAGCTTAATATGGAAATATGGTACTTATTAAAAGAGCAGAAGAAAGCTATGGTCTTAACATAGATGCTATTTTAGGAGATAAGCTGCAGCAAATCACATATGACAACAGTATAATATATTAAAACCACAATGGTTAGGTCACTTCCTGGAGTTAAAGTCATTTGCCACAAGTTATGGCTAATTTATGATGGGGATTGTGAGTTTTCATTTCTTTTTAAGGATTTTTTTCCCTTTTTTTGTTCCCCCCGCCCCCTAGTAACGGGAATTGAACTTAAGAGTGCTTTACCACTCCTTTTATTTTATTTTTCCTGTTTTGAGATAAGGTCTCACTAAAGCCAAGGCTGGCCTCAAACTTGTGATCCTTCCCCTTGGCCCCCCAAGTTTCTGGGATTATAGGCATGTGCTCAAGTACATTTCTTTTATCAACTTCAAAGAAATTGCCTTTCTCAAGACTTTTTTCCTTCTAAGAATATTTCCAGCCAGTCCCCTATTTTAGTTATCGATTATGTATCTCAGTATCTTTTCTTTCCAACTCAAATACTATCAAAGAAAATACTACTGATAGGGATTATATGTGGACTAAATAATTTAAAATAATGAAACTAAACATGAATTTAATGTTTAGATCAATTCATAGTTTCATGGTTGATACTATCTCTTCTTGCACATACAGAAATATATATAGAATTAAAGGAACACAAAAGATCCAGTTGGCCCTAAACAGACTAACACCCCAGTGAAAGATTAATTTTAAAATACTATCTATACATATTTTGAGATGAAAGGTAAGCACTATTTCACTAAAATGTAATAAATTACAAATACCCAATAAATACATTTTCCCCAATTTTCAAAATCACTTTTGCTAGTCAATCACCAGAAAAGAGGGAAAAATTCAGTCCTTTCTCCTATCAACACTCATGACAAAATACACAATTTTCTTTAGAACTATGTAACAATGTTTTTTAACTTCTTTTCGCTTCTTTCTTTTTGGGGTACTGAGGATTTAACCTATTGGTGCTTTACCACTGAGTTATATCCCAACCCCCAGGGTCTGGCTAAATTCCTGAGGCTGGTCTTGAACTTGTGATCTTCCTGCCTCAGCCTCCCAAACTGCTAGGATTATAGGTATGAACTGCCATGCCTGGCTTTCACTTATTTTCTTAATTCATCTACTACTTAAAGTAGATATAAAAGAATGGAAAAAATTAGTTACTGTAAGAAAACTGGATGTGGAAAGGCCATTTTTTATTAAAATATCCCATTTAAACTTCTTCCAACAGGTTGAACTAGTTAATAGAATTAATTTATAACAAATTGATAAGGTATTATAGTACATAATATCACACTATATACCAGAAATATATAGTACTTTTATCTGTCAATTATACCTTGATCTATAGATTACATATATAATTAAAATGTAATGATTTGTACTACTATGTTTAAATTCAAAACTATCACTTATAAGTTACCTTTATAAGCAATTTTCAATACTCAGAAACAGAATGGCAATTTGGCATCATTTTCCTGTTTTTATCTGATATGTTAACAGACACTTTGGAAGAATAACTTATAAGGGTATTTTTCTTCAGTTTTTCTTCCTCCTTTCAGTAAAAGGGTGTCCTATAAACATACTCAAAAATAGCCAGGTGTGGTGGCACATGCCTGTAATCCCAGCGACTTGGAAGACAGAGTAGGAGGATCTCAAGTTTGAGGCCAGCCCCAGCAAGATAGCAAGACCGTGTTTCAAAATAAAAAAAATACAAAGGGTTGGGATGTAGTGCAGTGGTAAAGCAACCCTGGATTAAATCTTCAGTACAAAAAAAAAAAAATTTTGTTAAAAGAACTATGAAAAAAATTAGCTATCATCAATTAAGACATGTAGTCCCCAATATGCTCTTTTTCAAGTGTATATTTTCCAAACAGCATTCCTCTGCTAATAYTTTAAAATAATAATCACCATTAAGCCAATCATTTTAATTACCAAGCAAATTCATAAAATACAGAATAAATGCTATCAGCAGGAAAAGGAAGCACTCAATGAACGCCTCTCTTACGTGGTGTCTAGGTACAGCGTGTGGATTTTCTGGCCTGCAAGAAGAGACCGCTCCATGCTGGGATCCGCTCTGAAGTCTCCAGTGTGCAATACAACAGCACCATTAGGAAGGTAGAAAAGGATCATGGTGGCACCTGGGCAGCTGAACACAAACATGCTTAGGGAAGATTACAACAGACTGGCACCTAAAGGGAGGGTACCTTCTTCACAAGTTAGTAAACCATTAGCTGACCACAGTGACACAACACTGTGCTCAGAGGGAATGCAACACTCAGAACTCAAGGAAACTTAGGTTGAAGAAAGAAAGGTGTGGCAGGAAAGGCCTGACTCCCCAGGCAGGAGAGGCTCAAACCTTGCACATTCCCAAGAAAGGCCAACTTCAGGACTGGTCATTGGCCTGGGGAATGAGCTCTAAGCCCCTGGTATATTTTGTCTGATAAGACAAATATTTGTATGCTTGAGGCACAGGCTACACCATACTAGCTTGATCAGATAGTTATGCTAATTATGTAATCTATGGTGAACACCTCAATAAAGCTGGCTCAAAAACTCAGAACTTAAAATGATGACTGAAAAACGAAATAGCAGCAGAGCTAGCAGACAAAACCTTGAAGGAGAGCAACCCCAAGTATAACATTGGCCTGGATTTTAGGAAACTTGGATTTAGTCTTACTTCTTTCCCTAAACTTCTCTGCTATCAACAGAACAGGAGCTAACTAACATTATAGGAAAAGTGAAAAGAAGCAGAGTCATGTATTACGGGAACATGAGTGCTGATAGTGTTAGATAGGTTAGTTAGCCATGAACAGGTGGGCAGAGGGAAAGGACAATGAAGGACACATATCAGGCCTATGCACCAAGAAAAACAGGAATCATAAAATAGGAACAGCAGGAAAACGTATCTAAGCCAGCAGCATTTGGGAATGAGAGCTGGAATGCCCAACCTTCCCCAAGCTGTAGAGAATTATAATCCCTTGGGGGAATCATGATTTTAAATCCTGGGGATCCTAACTGAAACAGAAGAACATCGAGAAGAGGCGTCTAGTATGTCAAGACCTCCCCTCAGCTCAGTTAATGAACTCCTAAAGCGGGACCACGGTTTCCAGAAAATGTCACCACCATCTCCTGCAACCAAGTTACTGGAACCCTTCCTTATCACCAAAAACCATTTCACAACCACCCAACTGCCCTGTCAGAATATGAAGACCCCAACAGAGAAAGTTTGCTAAGGGTAATGAACCAATTAAAGGGGACAGGAAAACTGAGGCAAGAATAAGGGACGCAATTTCCTTAAAAACCCCAACTCTGTGAGCACCGCACGGCCCTCTCCAGGCAGTCTGTGTAGTCCCCATGCTGCACACTACCCAGCTTCTCACGCTATTAAACCTTCGCTTCCTACTGTATGTTTCACTCAAATTCTTTCCAGTGGAGTCACAAGAACTGGCACCCAAGGATTAGTGGCTTCCAGGCCCCCACCCCTAACATCAGCACTTGACATTTAAAAGTGGGGGTGGGGTTGGGGAAATAATTTCCAAGAAAGAAAAATCTGAATCATTTTTTCCCCCAGTACTGGGGATGGAACCCAGGGACTCAACACACACCAGGCAAGCGCTCTGAGAGCTATATCCCAGGCCTCTTTACTTCTTATTTTTAGATAGGGTCGTTAAGTAGTTGCCCAGGCTGACCTCAAATTGTAATCTTCCTGCTTCAGCTTTTGGAGTAGATGGGATTACACGAGTGCAGTACCAGGTCCAGTTTACATCTTTAGTATCTAAAGCCTGGTGGATTTCTTAATTTAAAAGTGGCAGTGGGGATACTGGGCATGGTAGTGCAACTAATCCCCTAGTATGTAAATGGAGGATGAGCTCTTGGTTTACATAAACGTATATTAAAGAAAATTGCAAAAGGTATTTATTTATTTGTTAATTTTATTTGGTTCTGGGGATTGAACCCAGGGGTGCTTTACCACCAAGTTACACCCTCAGCTYTGAATTTTTTATTTTGAGACACAGTCTTGCTAAGTTTCTTAGGGTCTCCCTAAATTGCTGAGTCTGGCCTCCTGCTTCAGTCTCCCCAGTTGCTGGGATTTTAGGAATGGGCCGTTGCTCCTGGTCAAAAGGTTATCTTTTGAAGACCAACATGTGAAAGTATTAAAAAAAAAAAAATAAGATGGAGTCTCATATGTCAAGTATAGTGATTTGGGAATACAGTTCAGGGCAGAGTGCTTGTCTGGCATGTGCAAGGCCCTGGGTTCAATTTCTAGCACTGAAAAGAAAAACGATTAAATTAAAATAAGGTTAGGCAACATTTAGAGGATTTCTCTATATTTACTCTCTGATTCTGTAATTGGGGACATTTTTTTAACAAGTGGAAACATGTTTTACTGGAGTTTTAAGAAGCACCAGGCATTCCAGTTCTAACAGAAAAGGTCTTAAATACCCATGCCAATATGATTTCCTTGTGAATATTTTTTTAAAAAATGAACCATTATTAAGGTGACTGTAATACTCACTGATTGGCATCAAGTAGAACAACCCTGACACCATCCACCAAACACTCAGTGTCCATCGGCAATGGATGGACATATTGTTCTTGCACATGAAGCTTGCTCTTCAACAAGTTGCCAGTTATCTACAAAACAGGATGTGCTTACTTCTGACACAGCAAAACACTACATATTTTGTTTCATATCTAATTCAGAATTACAACATCTTAATAATCTCTCGATTTCACACTTTTATTCATTTAAACCCTCCACAATGTCAGGAAGGCCTTTCTAAAACAACCTGTCACTTTTCTACTTGAACATCCACACCGGCCCTCCCTCACTTGTGAAAGGCCCATCATTCCCAGCACCATGCACAAAACCCTTATCTGGTCCCTGCCATGGCCATGGGCTTGTCTCCTGAGGTTCCCCATAGTGTGTTCCAGACTTTCTGAATTTTCTGAAGAGTCTAGAATAGGTAGACTGCCTTTACACAGTCTAGAATAGGTAGACACCTTCTGAGGTGTCTGCCTTTACATAAATTCTCCTCTCTCATTGGAAAGTTATCTTCTCTTTCCTCTGCCTCATTCTGTGATCAGACATACCTTCATTTAAATTTGGGCTCTGCCATTACTTGCTGTGTGACCTGGGCCTGCCACTTAACCTCAGCAAGCCTCAGGTAGCTTCACTAAGAAAAACAGGATACTTAATAAATTCTGTGAAGACTAAATAAAATCCCAGCTAAAGCCCTTGCGATAGGGACTAAAATCTTCACCTTTTAATAATTAGTTCAAAGCACCTCTTTCACATGAAATGTCATTCTCTAACCTTGGCCTGTGACACAGTTCTCTTCTCCCTAGTCCTAGGCACTCCATTTTTTTTTTTTTTTTATTACAACACAAATTCCCTGCAGGCTTAAGCTCTTTAAAGTTAGGTGTTTTGCCTTTTATACCTATTTAGGCACTCAAAGAACATTCACTGAATGAAATCTTTTTTTTTTTTTTTTTTTAGCTCGACATGTCATATCGTTTATTCTCCTCATGTAACAAAACGCATTTTTCAAAAATGGACTATAACTGCTGATTTTAACTCATTTCATTTTAAAACTTTTAAAACCTTGGAATCTGTTTTTTATATCTTTCCTACTACAATGATAGGTCTTAACCATTTAATTAATCCTCTTGTAACCAAAATGCTTAAAAATCTGCAGCAGTCTATAAAGTTGGAACTTAGAATACGAAAACTTACCTCACTACAATAGACTGGAAATGTGAAGTTTTTAGACAATCCTGCATAATGATCAGAATGGAAATGGGTGAGAAAATAGGCCGTGCAGCCTTCCACCACACCGTACTGAAAGGCGTCAACTGTGAAGCTGGTTCCTGCAAGGAAAGCACCAGCAGGCTGGGTGAACCAACAACGGGGATATCAGCGACACCTGATCTGACCACAGATGCTGAACACCTATCCTTTTCACACCTCATTTCCTATTAACCATAAATTATTTAAAAACTTATGCTGCATAAATTTAGTAAAAGGTGAGAATAAGTCTTGTAAGTTTCTCCTAAATATTCCAGTATAGTGACTTTCATGTGTGTATAACTCCACCAAATAAATAAATTTTTAAACAATTTAAACCAATCACAAACCAATTAATTCTTTGTTAATACTTTTACGACATTTACTGGGCACCTGAAATCCTTTACTTCTGCAAAACAGCAAAAGGAGAATGTTTTGGAAATTCTGAAAGGTGAATTTTCAGCAGGTGATATTGATATGCTTCTAAAGGGGCAAAAATGGTTGAGGCCCCAAATAATCCCAAATCTTACAAAAGTTTGTGGCCCTCTAAAAGCCACAGCACTATAAAAATATATATATATATATGGGGCTGGCGTTGTGGCTCAGTGGCAAAGCACTGGCCTCGAACATGTGAGGCACTGGGTTTGATCCTCAGCACCACATAAAAACAAAAACAAAGTAAAGATATAAAAAGTACAGACATAATCTGAACTTCATTATGGGGTTGGAATGGAAAAAAAATGCCTCAAAAGTTTTCTCATAGGGGAAACAAGGAATACAGTCTTCAAATGTGTTTAAAACAGAAGAGCCATGTGTAAGGACAGGTGACAAGCAAGCAAACAAGCAGCTTTCACACTTCTAGAGGCTTTTGACACGTGGCTTAGTCGTCCTGGCTTACTAAAAGTCCAGAAAGGTATTAAATAATACAATAATGATTAAAAATAAAACAAATACATTGAACAAATTATAGCTCCAAAACATCAATAAAGCACCTCAACAGAAATCTTCTAAAACCCAGTATATTTTRGCTGCTTTACTGTACATTCTTCTAAGAATAATTATGGATTTCTTCAATAATAAAATTCATAGTTAGATGTGGTGGTATGGGCCTGTAATCCCAGAGACTCAGGAGGCTCAGGAGGAGGATGCCAAATTTGAGGTCAGCCTTGGCAACTCAGTAAGGCCCCATGCACCTTAATACCTTAGTGAGACCCTGTTTCAAAATAAAGTAAAAACAGAAAGGGCTGGGAATAAGAACCCATGGGTTCAATCCCTAGTACCACATACACACATAATAAAAAATTACTACACATTTTTCTCTGAACTCAGAAGGTAGAAAAAAATTACAAAAATATGAAAAGGCAGGGAAAGTTCTAATATGGTTTTAGAATGTTTGGCTTTTATTTTGATAGGTAAACCTATAGGATTTTTCTTCTTTGAAGGACTTCATATTTCTCACAAGTGCTTAGACACTGCCTCTTATCCATAATAGTTACTTAGAGCCTTTCCTCAATTTCTACTTGTCTTTCTATAATCTGTAATATCTACCTAACTAGCATAGTAACTTGTATGCAGAATATATTCAATAAAAGTTTGCCGAGTTAAATGGAATAACAATATAAAGCAAATAAGAAAAAGGAAACTAACAGGTGCAGTGGCACAACCCTGTAATTCCAGCAACTAGGGAAGCTGAGGCAGGAGGATTACAAGTTCAGGGCTAGCCTCAACAACTTAGTGAGGCCCTAAATGACTTAGTGAGATCCTATCACAAAACAGAAAATAAAAAGGCCTGGGGAAGTGGCTCAATAATGAAGCACCCCTGGGTTTGACTCTGAGTACCAAAAARAGAAAAAAAAGAAAATTATATTAGAGACTCATGAAGTATCATGAAAAGCAAACACAGGGTACACAAATCATTTCCATAAATATATACACACACATAAGAAAATGAATGTTAAGTTAAAAAATTGGGGGTCTTTGATAAATTGAGCACTGATGTTCCAACTTACCAGGTATTTTCTTATAGAAGGGACATGTCTTTTTTCTTAATTCCCCTGAATTAGCTGAGTCCGAAAATCTCATGTAACCTCTTTGCAGCCTTCCATGAGCCGATTTTTTGAAGGTATTGTCTTCAATGGAATTGGTTGTTCCCAATTCTGTATTGTTAATAAGGTGGCCTGACCTCTTCCCACGTACTCCTTCCTGTGGTGAATTTGACTTTTTATGTCTTTTTCTTTGCCGCTGTGACCTTTCAGCAGGCAGTTCCACAGAAAGTTGACTCTCATTTAAGTCCTTTGCATCAAATTCTAAATCACTTAAAGATTTTTCTGCTTTCCTCTTGTACTGCCGGGACCTCTTTCCTTTAGGACTTACAATGGGATTTAAGTTCATCCCATCTATTGCACTTTCCCTCAGTGATTCCTCTTCTTTTCTTTTCGGTGGCAGTCCAAAATACACACCTATATCCATCTGCTTCATTACCTTGGTAGAAGGATTTCTTTCATTGCACTTAGGATCAGAAGGCAATATCTTCAAAGGAGACTTAGCAGTAGTAGGTGTACTTGATTTTTTTCCTGTATTCAAAACTGTAATGCCACCATCTAACATACCATCCAATATCTTTCTGCAGAAATATGGTGAGTTAGCATCATTTCTAGTACAGAAGTTCTCACTTGATAGTTGTCTAATTTTACTTTGGGTCAAAGGAAGACACTCTCTTCCCTGGCTTCCAAAAGGTTCTGACATCTTACTCTGAAGTAGTGGTACAGTTGGGTTTTCAATCACCTGTTTCTGTTTATTTGGTTGAGATGCGTGAAAGTCTGGCTCACCAGGCTTTGATTTAGTGGTCTGACAATTAGAAGCAGCAGGCTCCCCTCTTAATGCAGGTGAAGACAATAAAAACCGTCCACCAGCATATTCTGGATCATCATATAAAATACTACACTCTGTTTGGGAGCTAAGTTGAGAAGAATCTAGARCACTGCACTTATACAATTCTTTAGTGTTATTCTGCTGGGTTAAGAAGCTATTCACTTTGGGGCAGCTCTCCTCCAGGTCCTTCAGGAAGGGACCAGGGAGGTTTTTAAAACTGGTAGAACTATCATCTTCTTCTAGGCTGCCATCTTTAGAACTCTCAGAAAAAAATAGTTCCTGTTGTGAATCATCCAGCTTTTCATCTATATCATAAGTTTCTTCGTCACTCTGAAGTGGAGAATAGGAGATTTCACAGCTGCCAAAGTCATTTTCTGGCAATGGCAAATGTGTGCGTTGTGAGTTGTTGTGGCTGTCTAATTCTGCCCCAGCAAAAGGCAAACCGGCTCTTACCAGTTTGTCATTCTTAACAAATGCTGTAAAATGTAAAGCTTGCTTCGAGGTCTGACTATTTGTAGAAGAAATCTTTTTATTGGTTTCAGTTGGAGGCTGAGACTTTTTTAGACACTGTGTCATCAACAAGGGATCATTTGAAATGTTTTTTAAGTTCTCAGTTTGTTTCTGATGCAGAGACCATCTTTCCTCTAGGCTACAAGAAAAGCCTGGCTGGGTCTCACTGAAACTCCCACCTGCCACATGTGATGGGCTGCTAAATGGATCAGTACTTGCCCTACTTTGAGCAAGCAGGAAGTGAGTGTATCTCTTATAATGAGAAGGAATTGTTGAGGTACACAGAAGGCCATCAGGACACTCTGAAAATTTCAATGAAGAAAAAAGTATTACAGGGTAAGTTTTGACAGTATCAATACTACAAAGTAACCTACCAGTGGAAAACCACCAGTCCTCCTTTAAGGACTTGAGAATTTCCAAGGATAGCTATTGTTAACTACACAATAAAGAGATCAGCATAAAAATACTGATACAATTCAGCATCATGTTGCAAGCTACTATTTATCAATTATTTTAAAATCAAATACTCTTTTAAATTGCTTTTCAAATAATCTTTTCTTAAAAAAAAAATAAGATGACCTTAAAATATGTCATTCAACTCCTTCTTCAGATATTTAAAGTAGAATTTTCTACATGTTAAATATGACCTTCAAGTTTAAAGATAACGAACACATAGCATTATTTCAGTTATTTGGCACATTTTTCGTTATTACATCTTAATCAACTAAGACTCCTTCCTATACACTAGCCTGATGACTACAACACAATCATATTTAGAAACAAGGATGTATTTTCTATACAGTTCCCAAAAAGATAATAAATTGGCCAAGATATTTAACTTTTAAGAGCCCTTATCTGTAAAATTTCAGTATCACCTACCTTATATGTTCATTGTGAGTCAAATAAGTATAAAGAATGAAAGTACCTAGTGCAGTAAGGGTTCAATTAACATTTATGAAAAATAATTGAGATGTTCAGACACCTTTATGAAAAAGTCAAAATACATTTAAACTGTATTTAGGTTTGGTGTCGTGGTGCACACCTATAATCCCAGTGACTTGGGAGGCTGAAGCAGAAAAATTGAAAGTTTGAGATCAGCCTGGGCAATTTAATGAGATAGTGTCTCAAAATAATAATAAAAAAGGGCTGGGGATATATAGTTCAGTGGTAGAGCTCCCTGGGTTAAATGCCCAGTACTACCTACCTTCCTTGCCTCCCCCTGACCCCCCAAACAGACACATACAAACACACACAAGCAAAACAAACAAACAAAAAGCTGTTTTCAGGGTTGTAACTTTCTTTGCAATGATATCATCACCTGGGATAGTATCTCATCTTTCTTTTGGTTTATTGCTTGTCTTGCTCATTTCACTGAGCAGACACATCTGACTTCATACAGGCCTTTTAGACCACTTAGAGACTCTTGCCTCTTTTTGTAACCTTACCTGTTTCAGACAATGGTGGAGAATCCAAACATTCAAAAACATGCCATCGAGGTGTTTGGCCTAGCAATGAGGAAAAAGGCATCTGGCAGTATGGGCAGTACCCATCGTGAACTGGACGCGGCTTTGGGGACACTTGCTTGAGCTTTTGAGTTCTTCGGTGTCTTCCTGGAGTGGTCTCTTGGTCTTGGGACTGTTGACTACCATCTCYACAACTTGAATTCTGACTAGAAGATACAGGAGTCTGGGAACTGGTTTCTCCAAAGCACATTTCACAGTCCACCCTTCCTTTAGCTTCTTTGTTTCTCTTTTTGTTTCCTTTTCGTCTTGACTGGTATTTCCCATCTGTTGCTTTTTCAACCGATTTTGGAATATTTTCAGAGCAATTATTTGGATGTCCTAGTTTTGGTTTTCTTTTAGATTTGTATTCCCAGATGTCTTCTTCCGAAAACATGTCTTCTATCATGGCAAAATGATTTTACCACTACAGAAGCATTAATCTTTAGTAAATCAAGTCCATTTCTTGTCACAAATTTTTTAAACTTGTTACAATTTTTTTTTTTTTTTTTTTGCTGAGGAATAAACTGAATGTAATGAAAAATCTACTAACTCAATGGGAACCTAAAGCTTTGGCAACTAACACATTGGCAAGCTACAAACCCTGTGCCCAAGAACACCTTCTGTTCTATTAATACCACAACAAAACTCAGAATAACCACAACAGGAGTAGCACCTGTAAAGTTTTCACCTGCGGCTGTTATTTCATTCTGGTATTGTGGTCSTTTCCAGAACTTGATTCATAAAAATAGAAATACTTTGAAAATTAAGCCCTAATGGAATGTATAGGTTCAAAAATATCCTAAAACAATCCTTTGAAGAACTGTTATGCAGTTACTGTCAGTTCTCTTTCAAGTGGGCAATTGTTCAAATAGCACAAGTTCAGGTACAGTCTCTGGGTGAGGAGCTCAGCAAGTGTCCCAAACACTAGCTGGCTACCTCAGTTTACTAGTGAAACTTGACACACCGTCATCAAGTAAGTGTGTGATTAGTGTCCTCATCCGTGACTCCGGGATGTTCAACATCTGCAGTTTGCTGGGTCCGTCCAGTATCCTCCTCCTTTAGCAAGGTACAAACCTTGAACAGTGAACAAAGTGTAAATATGGGTAGTGATGCTTCATTGAGGTCACACTCGGGCGCTCCAGACCACAGAGGCTCTGTGTCCCGCAGTGGGGGCGACACTTTCTCCACCAGCCTCCTCTGGAGGTCCTTGCCAGAGGCCTCCCACCCTCCTCTTTGGACTCTGGAGGTGGTTGAGGAAGCAAGTGCGGCCTTAACTCTCCCCACGTTAAGCGCAGCCAGCTCCAATACTGCCGTCAAATCTCTCCCCTTCAGAAGTCCCTCGTGGCCACCCACCTGCCACGGCACCCAGCGAGCAGCTGCAGCTGCGCCAGAAGCCCTCGGCGCCCCCACCGCCCGCTCGGCTGGCAGTCTATTCGCGCCCGCACTTTCAGCACTCCCAGAGGCACAAAATAGCTTTTGGTTACAAGTCAAAGCCCACTGGCCAGTCATTCCCAACTTAAAAAGCTTTCTCCCTCGAGGACATTCCTATCCCTTTACCTTGGGTCCTTGGCGGGAACCGCTTCTCGCTGCCAGAGCTGTGTCGAATCGGCTGATCTTAGTCTAAAAGTGGGACTCTAAATGAAGATTTTTAAGTGCCCTTTTAACTTCTATGGATTTATTTATTTTATTTTTGTTTTGAAACCTATTAGTTTCCGAAATGGAGGGTTGGGGAGGGGTCCCTTAGCGAGCAAGAAGCCCCCCACCCCCACCCCAGGCTTTGCCCCTGTTGAATCTGGCGCTCTGAATGTCCAGACTCGGCCGCGGCGAGGGGACCTGGAAGGGGCGGGGTGGCCTGCGACTGCAGCCTAATTACAAGCCCGGGAGTTGCGGCTCTCTGGACTTTGGCATTGAAACGCAYGCTTGAAAAAGAAAAGCCGGGCCTGGCGGTCAGTGGGGCTGGCGGGGCCGAGGCGGAGGCGCCGCTCTGAAGCCCGGGGCCGGGCGGGAGAGCCGGGCCGCCTCGGAGCCCGCGGAACATGGCGGSGCCCGCATCGCGGGGCGGCAGCCTCTCGGGCCTGCTGCCCGCGCAGACCTCGCTCGAGTACGCGCTGCTGGACGCCGTCACCCAGCAGGAGAAGGACGACCTGGTCTACCAGTATCTGCAGAAGGTGGACGGCTGGGAGCAGGACCTCTCGGTGCCCGAGTTCCCGGAAGGTGAGGGGCCGGCCAGGGAGGGTGCCGCTCCCGGGACCTCCCCTTCCTCGGCGCGGCAGCCCCGGGCTCGCGCGCTCCGGCCCTGGGTGTCCCCGAGAGGCGGTGCGCGGGGGGGGGTTCTGGAGGGTGGGGACGTGCCGCGGCCCGAGTCCGGCCCGAGTCCGGCGGCAGCTCCGGAAACTCGGTGGTTGCCCGGTGCTTCCCGCCCGTGGCCCCAGCCTGGTGGCCCTCAGCTCTGCAGCCTGCTGGCTGCCGTTTGCTGACCGCGGCTTGCTGAACTCTTAAGGGGAAGTTATCTGAGCCCAGTAAAGTGCTCTTACAAGTCCTGTTTCACAGTGGAGGAAACTGAGGCGCCAGAAGGCCGGGTAACTTGCGCAGCTAATGACCGCCCGAGTTTAGTTACGGTCTGCAGACCCCGTGTTTGCTGGTTTCCTCGGCCCAAAGTCGGGAGACTTCTAATTTTTAAAATCTGAATCATTTATAGCCTGTCTCCAAGGGTTTGCATCCTGGCTGGGTGCTCCTTTGGAACCTAAGGGGAATAGATACTCCCAGCAGTGCAGTTTGAAATGAAACCGTTCCTTACCTTCTTTGGGAGTGGCATTGTTTTGTCTGGTGGTGTTGGCATGTGTCCGGGCATGACACTGAAACCACATGTATAGTTAATTGGTTAGCTGTGGCAGGGTTCGGTTATCTCGTGGAAGGGATAGCTAACCTCTTCTGACAACAGTCTTGGGTGTCTTTGCACACCTTTTGCACTCACCTTCAAAAGGGCTTTTTTTTTTTCCCCCTGGAGATTGAGCCCAGGGGTGCTTTACCATTGAGKCACATCTCAAGCCCTTTTTATTTTTTGAGACAAGGTCTTGCTAACTTCCTGAAGTTGGCTTTGAACTTGGGATTCTCTTGYATCAGGCTCCCAAGCTGCTGAGACTATAGGCGTGAGCCACTGCCACCACCGGCTTCCTTATTAATCTTACATTGGATTTGAAATGTTGGGGAATACCTCCAAAAGMATTGGGTGCATGAGCTGAGTGCATGTGGTGCAAGACTGTAATGCCAGGGACACTGCAGGCTGAAGCAGGAGGATTACAAGTTCAAATCCAGTATTGGCAATTTAGCAAGATCCTGCCTCAGAATAAAAAAAATAAAAATAAAAAGGGCTGGAGGTGGAGCTCAGTGGTGAAGTGTGCCTGGGTTCAGTTCCAAAAAATGCAAAAAATTTAAACACTAGAGATTTTTTTTTAAATTAATAAATTCTAAAAAGGGCTAGGGATGTAGCTCAGAGACAGACTGCTCCTGGTTTGAATACCCAGGAAACCCCCCCCCCACACACACACACACAGAACTGGGTACATGAATGCTTGAATGCTTATCCCATCAGAAACTTCAAAAATATTGTATGTATATATGCACAAATGTATGCATAATTTGTAAAACCCCTGTAAAAAAGCAGCTATATAGTTATAATATAACTAGTTATAACTATAGTTATAGCTATATAGTTATAACTAGGAAGCCACCAGCTAAGGTTTTGGAGTGTTTTTGTTTTCTAGTCTTGTTTATATTTATAGTAATGTGTGTGTGTGTGTGTGTGTGTGTGTGTGTGTGTGTGTATATATATATATATATATATATATATATATAATTATGAAGAAGTTTGGCCTCTGTGACCCATAAGGAATACACATAATAAAGTAAACAGACTTTGTCAAATACAAAGTCTAATTTTTCTACTGAACCTCATTATTGAGAACATAATGCTAGAAATTAATATTTTCTTGGCTTATTAGTATACTGTAATCAAGTCATAAACATAACTTTATCTCAAAAACTGAGTTCTTGGTCCATTTTTTAGAAAAAACAATGTTTATGGGAGGCCTTGCAGTRTAATGGATGGATTTAGGCAGGTCTGGGACTAAATTCCTATTACTCTGTTAGCTGTGCGATTTTTGAGCAATTTACTCAACTTCTCCAAGCCTTTTCTCATTTGTGAAGTGGAACTAGTACTTATCTTTCAGGATATTATATGGAGGGCATATATGTAAAGTTCTTAATTAACAGGAGAGCTTACTAAATGTTAGCAGCTTATTGCATTCATTTTTTGTGATAAAATGCATTTAATATCAAATACATTAAGCCATTATTATTAAGGACCTAGCACAACAACTAAAATATAATTTCTTCCCTAAGCTCTCAACTTAAGTACTCTGGACAATATATAGAAAAGTCATTGAAGCAGATTTATAAATAATGTCTTGCAAGTAGAATATGAAATTTTCATTAATTGTTAGGTATAAACTAGACATGGTGGTGCACACCTATAATTTCAGTGACTTGGGAGTCTGAGGCAGGAGAATCACAAGTTTAAAGCCAGCCTCAGCAACTTAGTGAGGCCCTGTGCAACTCAATGAGACCCTGTCTCAAAATAAAAAAAAAAAAATAATAATAAAAAGAAGGGGTTGGGGATATCTCAGTGATTAAGTGCCCCTGGGTTCAACCCCTGGTACTACCCAAAACAAAAGCATCCCTGTGTTCAATTGCTGCCTTAAAAAAAAAAAATTATATGATTAGTAGGTATCTAATAGTTCTGTATAATTGCTTGATCTGACACATAATTAACACTTTTATCAAAATGGATAATAGAACTACCCTGAAACCTCACTAGTTAAGCCTATTGGTAGAAATATTGGTTTGATTTGGAAATTTTCTTCTAGAATTTTATTTTAATTAAGTAATTCCTGTTACTATTAGTAGTAATTTGTTTTTACTATATTAGGCCCCCTTGTATGAGGTTTCGGTTACCTGTGGTCAACTGCAGTCCAAAAATATTAAATGGAAAATTCCAAATTAAATAATTCATAAGTTCTAAGTTGTGTTCTGTTCTGAGTAGCTGGATGAAATCTCATGCCTTCCTGCTGTGTCCTGCCCAGGATGTGAATCATCCCTTTGTCCCTTGATGTGAAACATCCCCTTGTCTGTATCCCTGCTCTGTATTCTGCCCACTCTCTGACACTTAGTAGTTGTCCTGGTTATCAGATTGAATGTAGCAGTACTGTAGTGCTATGCTCAAGTAACCCCTATTTTAATGAAAAATGGTCCCCCAGGGCAAGAGTAGTGATTCTGGCAATTCAGATATGCCACAGAGAAGCTATAAAGGGCTTTCTTTAAGTGAAAGGGTGAAACTTCTCAATAAGAAAAAAATCCCATGCTGAGGTTGCTAAGACCTATGGTAAGAAGTAATCTCTTATCTGTCAAATTGTGAGGAAGGAAAAAGTGATTGGTGCTTGTTATGCTGTCACACCTCAAACTTCAGAAGTCACTGGGGCCCAGAACATGATGTGTTCGGTTGCAATGGAAAAGGCTTGAGATGTTAAGGTTCAATGCTGTTGGTATTTTCAGGTGTCCACTGGGGGTTTGGCACACAGCTTCTGTGGATAAGTACTATATGTATTTATACCACCTAGTTTTGGTTTTAAGTTGCTATAAAATATTTTCCAATTCAATATGCAATAAATATTTTTAATAGCTACCTTTACTTATATGCAATGAATTTATCTTTATTTTCTTAAATTGGTTAAATGGGGATGCTGTACTTTTAGTATTAGTTTAACAAAATCATCATAGTACAGAGTTAAAATTTGAATCATAGTCAATTATAAATTCTGTTTTACAAAAGTACAGATCAGTAAGATCCTATTTTTCTTTGAAGGGAAGGGAACTCATTCTTCATCAATATTAATGTTACTTCCAACTTTGTATTTAAAATATTTTATTTTGTACTTCWGGTCTCATCTGACTAAAACATTTCAGCTTCTCTTATGAGATTGGCTTARGCATTTTGTATGTTATATTTTATGTCAAACATTTTGCTCCTTTTTTTGGTTAGTCCTGTCTTACTGTTTTTAAGCTTGAGCTGCATTCTCAATATCTCATTTATACCTAATTGTGTATGCAATTAGATCTTCTTAATATTTGATATTTCCTCATTTCTGCCTAAACATATTTTTGCCCCTTTCACAGACTGTTACACTACTTCTGAAATAATGTAGTAGCTGCTGCTTACTATATTTGCATACTTCCCCATAAAAGCAGCTTTCCCATCCTCTGTGCCTCCTATTCCCCTACCTGGTCCTCATTCCCTCCTTTCCTTCTTTCTTTCCTCTTTGGACTTTAACCTCTACAGACTTGCCTTATTGATTGGTAGAAAAAAGTGGTTTTTATAAACAAAATAATGTTTATTTCAACTGCCACAGACTTTGAATAGTTTCATCATCTCCTAAGGTGTTTGACTATTTACACTAGTCTTAGAAAAAAACAAAGATTCACATTTGAATGGAAAGTTTCAGATAAATTATCTGACTTTTCCTTTAACTATTGTAATTTTTTGTGTAAATTTCAGGGTTAGAATGGCTGAACACAGAGGAGCCTATTTCTGTCTACAAGGATCTCTGTGGGAAAGTGGTCATCCTTGATTTCTTCACCTACTGCTGCATAAACTGTATTCACCTGTTGCCTGATCTCCATGCTCTGGAACACATGCACTCCGATAAAGGTATCTGCTCTTTGATGAGTTTCTAACAGATAGCCCCGGGGTAGGCGAGTTGCTGACTCATTTGCTCMTGGGAGAAAGCATTTGAAAGACTTCAGTGATTCTAAATGCTGTCTCTTCTCTATGGATTAAGAACTCCCTGTGCCTTTTCATGAAGGGTTRACTTAGTGATGATGGTTTGCCTAACTCAAAAACAGAATTTAGATAAGGCTTATCTCTGGGGATAAGGGCACAACTTTCTTTTTTCATGGTCAGATGTCTGAAAAGATCTTTTTGTATGTCTAAAAGAGTTACCTAAATATGTTCTTTGAAAAAAATGAAACATCTGGCCCTGATTGTATACTATTCTCACTGTGATATAAGGTTTAAAATTTTTATTAAGAAGTGCAAGTTCTAGCTCAATTCTCTAGAAATATCTGTTAATATCAAATGACAAGAACTACAGTGGAATGCAAAATAACATACATTTTCTTTCATCCTGCTTCATTAAAAAGCCATTTATTACAGTTAATGTTTTTCAGAGCACATTAGAAATCCTCCTTTATGGTATTACAGATTCCAAAAGTGAATGAGATTATATTTAGTATTTGCTGTAGAAGTTTGAAAAATTATCAGATTTTTTTTTTACTTTAAAAAAATAGTATGAGAGGGGCTGGGATTGTGGCTTAGCGGTAGAGCACTTGCGTAGCACGGGCGGAACCCGGGTTCGATTCTCAGCACTACATAAAAAAAATAAAATAAAGGCATTGTGTTGTGTCCATCTACAAAAAAGATTCATTCTCTCTCTCTGTCTCTCTCTCTCTCTCTCTCTCTCTCTCTTAAAAAAAAACATGAGAGTAAATGAAATTGATTAAAGGTTTCATTTAATTAGTTTTTAACAAATTTAATTACTATTCTTAGAGTCGATCAAAAAAGAGATAGGATCACAGATCTTGTGGAGTAAAGATGGAATAGACATGTACAAAAATGAAGAATATCTTGAAATTTAGTTTTTTAAAAATGTGATTATCTAGATGTACTTTAAATGCAAATGAAACTTCAGATGCTTTTATGTTATACTAGATTGTGTCTTAAAATTACCAATCAAAAGATTTATCAAGAACTTAAATATTCCCAGTGGCTAAATCCTATTTCAAAAATTCATCTCTATGAAGAAATATATCATTATTCCCTAGGCTTTAGATGTTTGTGTCTCTTATTCAAACTTGCACATTTATAAAGTGTGAATTATGTGCACTGTACTCTGCTAACTGATGAGTAAATATGTAACAAAGTTGAATAAAAAGCATTACTGAACTCCTGAGGAAAGGGATATCTGGCTTTGCTTTTAGACATTAAAAAGTCTTCTCAGAGAAACASGATTGAGCTAGAACTTGAGAAGTGAGCAGGGTTGCACCTGCGAATGAAAATAGGCAGAGGGCTACGCTGGCCCAGGGAGTGCTAGGCCAGACAGGCAGGGGAGCCCAGAAGAGTCAAATTCTTGCTCTGGGAACAGGCGAATCATTTAATATGGCAGGATCATAAGGGCTTGTCATAAAAATAAAAGGAAACAGAGGCAGTTTAGGACCACATTGTGAAGTCCTTGTGTAGCATTCTTAACTGTTGAGACTTTTGCTTCCTTTGAGGATCTGGAGATGTAAAAGCTTGTTTTTGAATTCTTTGGTTTTTTAATGGGAGGGTGAGATGATGAGTTTGCATTTTAGAAGGGTACCGCATACTGGGTTAAGAATCCCAGGGTTAACCATTTCCTACCTAAGATGGTCTCCTGAATGGCATTTGGTAAACTTAATTGGTGAATCCTCCATACTTACAGCAAGTTCATTGATTTCCTCAAATGGAAACCCTTAATTGCCTACCACTTTATTGGAAACATTATTTGTATGAAAGCGTGTTGTGGGAAATTATATTTTTATGTGCAAATACACTTCTGAAAAGTAAAATACATTTTAAGTAGAAAAAGAACTCATGGGAGATGGTGGAGTAAAAAGTAACAAATTTATGTCCACCTAGACAACATTTGCACTGGTAGAATCTGTCTGATTTGGAATTCTGGAATCTGTTAAAGGCTTCCAGCTTCCAGGGAGGCCTTGGACTGCAAGATGCTTTCATTTTGATCACTTTCAGCTCTGAGCACAGTAGCAGCTACCCAGCCCTCAGCTCCAGCACCATGGCAGATATCTGATCTGTGCTCTGCTTGCTGATGCCCCATCTGGTCACAGAGGTGCAGACAAGCGGCAGTGCCCACTGTTGTTGACCTTTCCACTTTGTGGCAAGCTCCTCCCCATRCGACTGAGGTGACTTCTGGTGGATCTTAGGGGCTGTGCCTATTTTTCCCCCTTTATTTCTTGTTGTGGGAGGCTGACATCGAAGACTAAGATATTCAGTTCCAGCTGTATAATGAAGAAACTTAGAAAGTCATTTTTCTTGCCCAAGGGAAAATGCAGACTCAGAAGGGATCCAGAAGCCCTTAAGTTTACAGTCAGGATGATCTTCAACAGAGACACCCTAAACAATCAAAATAACAACAGACCATGAATCTTGGGGAAGGGAGAATTACCATATTATTTGATGCAACTATTCGATTTCCAACCAAAAAATTACAAGGCATGCAGAGAAACAGGGAAATGTGAAAATTGGAGGAGGTGTTGTACACCTGTAATCCTAGCAACTCAGGGGGCTTAGGCAGGAGAATCAAAGTTCAAAGCCAGCCTCAGCAATTTGGTGAGGCCCTAAGCAACTTAGCAAGACCCTGTCTCAAAAAATAAAAAGGACTGGGGATGTGTCTCAGTGGTTCAGTGCCCCTGGATTCAATCCCCAGTGCACCCCCCCAAAAAAAAAAACAAAAACACAAAGCCCCCCCAAACTTACCACTTCATGATTTTAGATACACAGTGTTTAAAGATGTTATTGTATGATCTCAAGAACTGAAAGGGATGGGCATGGAATTGTTAATGTTAAACGATACTTTTTTTGTTATTGATGTTACCCTGGTACAAATTCAGATTGGAGTAGGATAACTTTCGTTGTTAAATATAATTTCCATGGTAAGTGCGTGTGCACGCACACACACACCACACACACACACACAGCTAAAGAATATGCACGCACACACACACCACACACAGCTAAAGAATATGCACAAAAGGAAATAAGAAGGGAATTTAAACATTTACTTAAAAAAAAATCAATGTTGAACACTAGAAAAGTCACTGGGTACAGTGACTCATGCCTGTAATCCCAGCGGTTTGGGAGGCTGAGGCAGGAGGATCACAAATTCAAAGCCAGTCTTGCAAAAGCAAGGCTCTAAGCAACTCAGTGAGACCCTTTCTCTAAATAAAATACAAAATAGGTCTGGGGATATGGCTCAGTGGTCTAGTGCCCCTAAGTTCAATCCCCGGTACCCACTCCCCAAAAAAGGGAATATGTGAAATGAGGGACAAAAAAAGCTCTGAGGTTGTGTAGGAAACAAATAGCAGCATGACAAAAGTCATTGTTCCCTTATCAGTAATTACTTTAAGTGTAAATGGTTTAAGCTCTCTAATCAAAAGGCAGAGGCTGGCAAAGTGGATAAAAACATAATCCACCCATATGTGGTCTACAGGAGGCTCACTTTAGATCCCCAGATACAAACAGGTTGAAAGTAAAATGATGGACGGGGCAATTCTTGCAAATAATCTCCCAAAGAGCACAGAGGAGACTGTGTTAATACTGGACAAAAAGGACCAGAGGTCATTATGTGTTAATAAAAGATCAATAGAACTAGATAAAAACTTATGCACTTATTAACAAACTATCAAAATACGTGAGACAAAGATTGAGGGGAGAAACACATGTTCTCCAGTGGTAGTTGGAGGAATCAGTACACCACTCTCAGTAGAGCAACCAGGTGGAAGATGAGGAAATAAAAGACTCCAACAGCACAAGAAACCAACCAGATCTGACAAGATTAGACAATTCTTTTCAAGTGTATATGGGACATTTTATCGAAAGGTGGCCAGCACTTCACTATGGTAATTTTTCCTGTTCGGGAGGAGATAAGCCCCCTGAGAAAATAAAGTCTGAAATAATTAGTGAAGAAATAAAAAACAAAGACAGAAAAATAGTTTTAAATGCAGAGCACCTGATAGGTCCAGCCCACACAGGAGCTGGAGCTGAACAATTTGAAAATGGCTCTGGTGGTTTTATTTAAGAGGGTGCATCAAAGGCAGRGATAAGGTTTCAGGGGTGGAGTCTTGCTTCATGATGTCTTGCAGTCTAGCAGTTTGATTGACATCTTGACAGGCTACACTCATCTCAGAGAGGCTGTGTGGCCACAGCAGGTCACCCCGTCTCTGGTGCTGTGTGGGACCTGGTAGAGTCAGGTTCACATGTATCTGGGTGATCTTACTAGCGGGATTGACACTGGAAGTTCCCAAATACCACATTTTCCTATTCAGTGGGTTTCCATGCCGATTTGGACCACATATAGTCCACGGATGGCTCTCCACAGACATTTTCCAGGGTGAATCATATATTAGACCACAAAGTAATTTTCAGAAGATTTAAAAAGATAGATACTTTACAAAGTATGTTCTCTGATCATGATAGAATGCAGTTGGAAATCAATAACAGAAGTAAAATTGCAAAGTTAAAATATTTATGGAAACTTTTTTTTTTTTTTTTTAGTTGGACACAATATCTTTATTTTATTTTTATGTGGTGCTAAGGATCGAACCCAGTGCCTCACACGTGCTAGGTGAGCACTCTAAACTTGAGCCACAACCCCACCCTCATTTATGGAAATTTAAACAAGACACTCTTAATAACCAGTGGACCAAACAGGAAATCACAATGGCAACTAGAAAATATGTAGAGAAAATTTAGGGCACATAGTAAAAGCAATGCTAAGAGGGGAGTTTGTAGTCACAAATGCTTACATTAGGAAACAAGAAATACTTTAAATCAGTAACTGACTTTCAGGCTTAAGGAATTAGAAGAACTAGCTAAACTGTAAGCTGGCAGAA